CTGTACTCCATTTCACCTTTTCCAGCCCCCATGACTGATTTCTTTCTTCATGGAATTGAAGAAGAAATATAAATATAATTATGGCAGCCTGTACCCCCCTAATGCCTGCCATTTTCACTCTTCGCTCTTTTACTCATATACAGTAATATTTATTTCTCTTTTCCAGTCCCTAGTACACTTAGTATCTGCTTTAGCAATCACCACTGAATTACTAGTAAAATTTCCTCTTCAAAACCCTCTTCACTGCTCACTTTTCCCTTAACTTCACACAACCCTTACAGTTAACCCCTTATTACACACTCCCCTTCCCATCTCACTTCACAGTCTGGCTTCACCAATTAACTTCTAACTCCTTTCCATTCTGGTAGATCAGAAAGGTTTAATCCATGGTTTTATCCTTCCAAATCCCCCTAATTCCATTTATCGGGGGTTGTGTGGTGTTGTTGTCTCCTGACCTGTTCTGCTGACTCAGCCATTTTTAAAACACTGAGGGGAGTAACGCCACCTACAACCTGACTTTCCTTGAGTTTATAGATATATTTGGCGTTTTCTGCTATGATTTTCTCACTGTACACTGGTCAGCTGAATATAGGTCAGCTACTAAAACATTAACCTTGACTGTTTAACTATTCACTTCTTTCCCACGATTGGCACTGAGGGATATCCGACCTATAACCTTGGAGTTTTGTACTGTTGATTTGACGATGTCTCCTGTGTTTCCCTCTCGTTAGCACTGGTACAGGTGATATGATGGTGGTACAGATATGATGCTACTGTCAACAGATGAACGTCAGTAAAGATGAGAATTTCACTTCGCTAGTTGTACGTCTGGCAGTAGCGGCTGTTGTGATGCCGGTCAGCCATGTTTAAATGCTTCAATTCTTTCCCTCGTTTGGCACTGAAGAAAAAAGTCCTACAGACCTGTCATTTCCTTGGAGATTTAGTTGATCAGGTTTTCTGCCATGTTGTCTTCCCGTTAAACACTGGTGCAGTTGATATGGAGGTCAGTTATTTCATTGTAGTGGAAAAAAGTCTCATGTCTGGTTCACGTCTGGCAGCAGGTCTGGTACTTGAATGCCGGTCCCTCTTTTGTCATATTTAGTCCATTTCGTTGTTGTCACCGTCAGTTTTTATGTCACTATAGGTTCCTTGCATGTTGTTGCAGCAGTACTTGCAAATTTGGCCATCACTGGAGTTCGGATAGGCCCAGGTGAGGGGTGGTAAAAGGTATAGTGATGGGGGGTAGAAGGAAAAGTAAAAATGGGTAAAAGGTCGTAGTAAAGGTGGTAGGGGGGTTCCCTTTCTTTAGTGTTTCATTAAATTCAAAACCCAACCCCCTCCAATGTTTTTGGAGTTATATGGGCAACAAAAACCACCCCCCCGACTCAGCTGCTGTTTCCCACCCACCATTATGGACGGCTTACACTCAGTGGCCCTTATAACCCAACAACACAACACAACCCCTTTTCCTCGGGACATACGAAAAACTACTTTACCCCATTCTAGAGTATATTCCATTTTTCCCTATGTTATAAATTTTTTTTATGTCATATTATTTAAAAATTGGGTGATAATAAATAAAACCATAGATTTTGATATTAGTGCCATATTCCCCAAACAATAAATTTCCCATCCCTCCCTCACCAAACAAATGCCAATAAGAACAAAACAAGGGAAGAACACGGGCGGGTCTCGGGCCCCATAAAAGGCGGGCTTTATAAAAATGACCTCCACCCAAAGCAAACCCAAGAATTTACTCCCGACCCAATAAACAAAAATTTCAAACTCGGGCCTCCCCAATTTTGTAATTTGTCCAATCTCTTCTTAAAGTTTCCCCAAAGGGGTCCTACCCCTCAAATCCCCCCTACGGGTTTAAGGGATTTTAAAATAAAAAAATTAAAAAGTAGGAACCGGGAACAGGCCTGCTGGCCCTACAAAGGCCAGCCTTCACAAATCCAACCCACAACAAAAAAAAGCTCCCCAAAAACAATAACCCTCAGGTGCAAGTCCGACTCAAACCCAAACCCCCTCACTCGTGTTTTTAAATCCAACCTAAATTTGAAAACTAACCCAAGCCATAGTTTTTTAGAAAAATTCCAGTAAAGTCGGTTGGCCCATATTGGGCCGGTCCTTCACAAATCCCCCCCCAATTTAACAAAAAAAATGCTACCGAAGCAATAACCCTCGGGTGCAAGTCCGACCAAAACCCAACCCCCCCTCACCCCGGGGTTTTTTAACCAACCAAAAATTTGAAACAACCCAATTTTTTTTACCCTTCGATCACCCTACTGGGCAAAACCGTTCCACTCATAAACCCTCCCCCTTTTAAACCAAATTTTTTCATTTATCCCTTTTTAATTAGGGGCCCAAGCCCTTTATGGAGGGGGTTTCCCTTTTTCCAAATAACATCTTTTCCCCCTCTTTCCTCCTCCCTGTCTTCCTTTCATAAAACAACAGCCTTCAATAAAGAAACTTTTTCCTTTTTGAATTTTCATTCTTTTGTGCATTTTTAAATCTATCTTTTTGGGTAAAAAAAAAAAATTTTTTTTGGATATTTTTCTGGTGTCGGGAAACAAATTAATTGGATTTACATTTTTTTCTTAGGGGGGAAAATTGATTCAAAAATCGTCCATTTCGAAAATATTTCCCCATTTCCCCAGGAACGGATTAGGGACGATTATTGAGGGACCACTGAAAATGGAATAATGAAATTTTTTGGTGTGAGTGATAGGGGTTGGTAGGGTTTTACATACCCCCCAAAAATCATAAAGTACATCTAAAATTTTTCCTTTTTAAAAATTTGGGACCCTGACCAAAAAAATCGTTCACATGGGCCCTGCATTTGTGCCCCATCAAAAACAAACCCTTTAGTTTCTTTTAGGGGTCCCAGAGAGAGTTAAAAGGGTGTTCGCCAGAAGACAGACTGCTAACCCTTCTGCCACTGCCATTTTTAAGAATTGACTTAATCTTTTAATGAAAAAACCATTATACATCTCTTTACCTTAATAAAAGTACTACGTACAGTACATAGCATTTTAAAAATTTTTTTTTTTCCCTTTCATTCCATAAAAAAAATTTTACAATTTTATTAAATAAAAATTTAAAGCAGAAATTTTTTTAATAAAATTTTAGGTTGAAAATTCAAAGGTGCAAAAAACCCATGAAATTTAATGCAAAACGACCCCAAAAAATTTTTTTAAATCAGGGTGAAATTTTCCCACGGTTTGTATAGATGACCCTTAGCTTTAAACCCTTTAAAAAAGGGCCCAAACCCGTAAAAATTTTAACTTTTTTTAAAACTTTTGAAAGAATGAAAAAAAAAATGTACATCATCTTTTTTTTTTACATTTGAAACGTGTTTAAAAAAAAAAATTTCTCCCTTTTTTTTTTGGTTATATTTGGGAAAAAATATAAAAAAGGGCCCAGATCTACTTTTGGACACTACGGATTTTAACGTCGATCTATTTGGACCTTTTAAGGGGGAACAAGCTAACTAAAAACTACCTTAAAAGTTGGGAAAAACTTTTCCCCCTTTAAACACGAAAGCAAAAAACCCAGGTTAACTTTAAAAATAGGTTTTGGGCAAATATGAGCGAGAAAAGGGTTTGGGGTTGGGGGGGGGGGGTAGAAACCTGCCCAGCAAGGGCAACTAGGCTTCCCGCAGTTTCTCCTCTATTTTGTTTTAACCCGGGGAACCCCAGTGTCAACTACTGAAGGGAAACCAGTGTGTAAAGGGGGCCCCACTATTCATAATTTTTAATCCATCTTCCGCTTTTTGCTGAAAACTGGTCCAAAATCTCAACCCCAGGGATGGGAAAACACATTTTTTTACTAGTCTATAACATAAAATAAGTAGATTTAAAATATAACCCAAAAGGAGGGGGGGAAAAGCATATGGGAAAAAAGAGCTGAGTAAAAATTTTTATTCCCCAAGGGTTTGAAAAGGGTAAAACACCAAATGATTTACCTGACATTTCCCCCTGGCTACCAATTATTTACCCCGACATACCCCCCTGTTACAGACTTATTAAAAAACCTTGAATAAAAAAATTTACATAAATACATGAGATGTTTCCCGGGATTTTTTTTTTTAAAAACATCGGGCCCTTTCAAAAACCAAGGCAGGGTGGGCCAAAAAAAAAAAAAAAAAAAAGGAAACTTTCATCATCAAAAAAATCCATTACTGTCCTTTCCATAAACCCTGCGGTAAATATAGTTTTAAAAAATGTAACCAAAATCTCCAACCCTCCCCCTTTGGGGTTTCCCGGCACATACTTCCAGGACTCAAGTCCGGTAATAATTTGATTTCCCTGAATCCCTTCACAAAA